GGCGTCGGCGGCGACGAAGATGGCGACGAAGCAACCTTCGATGCCGCGATCACGATCATCTACATTGCACCCCGTCACGCAGACCAGCCCCAAATTGGGTATCCCTGCTTCGTCTGGATGACAAGATGACATTGGAAAACGCGCGTTGCAGGTGCACCACTTGCCCACTCTAAGATCTGCGAAAATCGTCGGCCACATTGTTACGAACACGCCTCCACCACTCCACCGTTGTACGGGAAATTGGTTCACGTGCGGGGACAACCAACCACGGCCCATATAGTCTGCGATCCTGTTCCACACGCGCGCATAGAGCATCTCGTACATAGCTCGCGTAGCTCGACCTATCCACATACGACGCCACGCAATACCTGCCTGCCTTGCATGGGTTCCTCGCGCGCCCGCGGGGTCCGCCGGGCGTCGGGGAACGTTAGCCGACCACTACTTCGCCGACCCTGTCCAGGCCAATCCTGAGCCCAGGATTGGTGCATACGCCCTCCTGGCTTGGCCAGGCAGGGGGGCTGGGCGCCGATTGGTCCAAGACAGTCAGATGCCGGTCAGCAAGCGAAGGGTGCACCGGAAGGCCACGGGGACACATACAGTCAAAATCAGAAGTCTGGGCGGCGTTTGAGGATGAAAGACCCCCAGAAGGGCGCGATAGCCACGGCTGCGCGCGTGCCCAGGCGTGGTAAGGCTGGTCAGGACCGAAGCATGCAGGGTGCCCTTGCGAGAAAGGCCCATCCTTGCCGCCGGCGTTGGCTGTACACCGATCCTCCGCTCCGCCTGCGGTCCCCGCCGCCGGCGATGCTCGTTCGATGATGAACCGTACGCACTTTGGCCAGAAGAGCCCCTTTTTTATTTTTTTATAATTTTTTTTATGGCCAGAAGAGCCCCTTGGGGGCGAAACGCGTACATGGATAGAGTCAGGGGCTGCCTGGCTTCAGTTCTTGATGATCAGCTTGCTGAGTTTGCCCACCTCCGCACATCCGGCAGACCCCAGCAGAGTCCACTCGCACCACAATCCGCGAGAGCAGCCGCCCTGTCGTTCGAGAACAGTGAGGGCGCAGAGCCTCTGAAAAAGCTCCGGGGACCTGCAAGTGCAGACCGCCTGAAGTACTCAGGAGATGTTTCTGAGATCAGCCGGTTGCTTGCCCCCTGGGGGCGGATGCTGACGTGCAGCACAAGGGTAGCCAGGCTTGGCACGTGAACAGTACTTGACTCTTTGGGTGAGGAGTTAAACTGTCAGACCCCCTGACTTGATGGCACGAAGGGAGAAGGTGCTGGCTGTCAGTTCAAAGTGGTACGGCAGGAACTTGCCAACGGGTACTGGGGATGGCCAACTGATGGGCGGGCACCCCATTTGACTGCATCCGACATTGCTTGCCATAGGTGATGTGATCGTGCGAGCAGCTGCGCGAGAAAAGCGTGCCCAGGCACGCGGCGACGCTGGCCAGAAAGGCCGAGCGCAAGCCTGACAAGCCAGCGTGGTGCGCCCCCAAGAGCGAGCCATCAATCCCTGCCTCCTCCTTTCCTCCCGCCTCAGTTCTCTTTGTTTTGTTGTTTTGTGTCTCTCTCTCTCTCTCTCTCCATCTCTCTCTCTCTCTCTCTCTCTTTCTCTCTCTCTCTCTCTCTCATCCAAGCCTGCACCTCTCCTCCTCCGCGAACTGGCCGTGCCCTCTCCCTCTCTCTCTCTGGTCCGCAAGTGGCGCCTCTCACAAACAAATGACTCGATTCTGGTAGCCGCGGACAAGGGCAGAGCTACCACCGCGACCATCCGACCCACGGAACCCCTCGACGAGCAAGATGGTTGGAGACACCGATCTGGATGCACATGGGGGCGCAGTAAACGTTATTGTTAGCCGCTGGCATGGGTAGGACGTGCGATCAATTAGTACCTCAGCTATTTCATCATATGACCCGCCCTGGCATCGATATTTGTGCATCCAGAAGACAGGGATAGCTGAGACATCACATGTCATTCACAATGGCTTGGTGGTTATTCTTTCAGGCTCATCGGATCATTCTAGAGGCCGTTTCTATTATGGCTTCGGCTTCATAATTGCACCACGCGCGGCAGGAGCAGTCATCAGCTTCAAACTGATATCCGACCGGCTTACAACCTGAAGCTCAAAGATCATGGTGGGACTCTTCTGGTTATTTGTTGCTACGTTCAACATGCCCAATATAGTATCGAAATGAGGAGTGCGTTATTTGATGCTTTATCGAACGCGTGGCAACCAGCAGGCAAACACGATGCCACAATCGTAATGGGTGATTTCAACACGAAGCTTTTCTCAAGAGAGCCTGGAGAGGACGCCATCGTCGGCGACTATGTGTTCAAGTGCAGGGGGGCGAAAAACTGGGAGAGGACGAACAGGGAGCTTCTCTTGGAAACCTGCTGGGCTACGAATACAATGATCGCCAACACCTTCTTCGAGTTGCCCGACGAGAATTTAGTGACGTACTTCTCACGGCAGGTGAATCAGATGAATGCCATAGACGAGGCTGGCTTTTCGCAAATACATCATTGCTTGTTGAACGCCAGCACGATGCATTGGATCCAGGACTTGAGGTCGGACAGAACAGTCCCATTGGCAACCAGGCACTTTCTAATGCAGTTGCGCTTGCAATTATCTTTGGATATTTCAACCCCTATGCCCCTGCGCAGCTTAGCGCAGATGCGGATTCCTGACAGAGACGCCATGGAGGACTACCAGCAAGGATTTTGCAATGCACTGGAGGTTTTGGCGCCTAGTTTGACACTGGATCAGCATGCCCGTGCCATTCGCACAGCCATGCAATCTGCATCGGAAGAGTTGCTGAACACCTCGGCTAGGAAGCCTCGGAGACCATGGATAAGCCAATCCAACCTGGATCTACTCACAGAGCGAGATCAAGTCAGGGCTGCGGGCAACCCAGAGAAAGAGACAGAGCTGACGAAACGCATCAGAACTTCTGTGAAACTAGACAAACAGCGATGGCTCGACGACAACCTTGTGGGAGGTCCGTGGGCAGCACTGCGTAGGCTCCGGAAGTGGCCACCCAAACAGCCAGTACAGATACGCAACGCTGCAGGGCATCTGGTGGAGAGTAGCTTGCAGGCAGACAAAACGGCAGGCTACTTCGAACACTTGCAATGGAAGATCACGCATCCTGACCTGGTGCCTACTGGAAACCAGAAGATTAGCGATCCTTTGCCGATAGTCACTTCTCCGTCTAGCATCATCGAGCTGACGGCCGCCCTGCGAGCTCTTACCGTCGGAGAAGCACCGGGGATAGATGGAGTCCCGCCAGAGCTATGGAAGATGCTGTTGGTGTCTCCGGAGGCCATGGCCAACTTGCTGCAATTATCTTAGAGATGTTGGGAGGACGAAGGCATACCAGCGGAGTGGAGGACTGCGCGCGTGGCGCTGCTTTTCAAGAAGGGTGACAGCATCCTTCCAGAGAACTACCGGCCGATATCCCTACTCCCTGTTGGCTATAAGACCATCGCGTGGATGCTTCAACGTCGACTGCAGCAAGGCGGCGCCTCAGGCAGATTCAGATCGACCCAATACGGATTCAGACCAAAAACGGGCACCGTGCAGGCGATCTCCATTGCCTGGCGCATGTTCGAGGCGGCACATGCTTCGAAGTCTGCAGGACTAGTGGCAGTTCTGTTGGACTGGGCGAAGGGGTTCGGCAGAATCAAGCACGATGTCTTGCTGCATGCACTGCGGAGATTCGGAATACCATATTGTTTTGTGGACATGGTTACTGGCATCTATCGCGAACGGAACTTCGTTCTCCAAGATGCATCTGGGGATTCAGGCGCGCGCCAGCAACGTGCCGGCATCGCGCAGGCCTGCCCACTGTCACCAAATCTCTTCATCATAGTTCAAAGTGTTTTGCTCTTCGATATTGATGTGGGCATGGAGGGCGCGCGCCCGACAGTCCAGGAGCCAGATCTCATTCAGTGTTCTGATTTGCTGTACGCGGATGACACGACGCTCAGCAGCAGCTGCGCTGACAAGCTTCAGAGCTTGCTCGATGCGGTCATTGATGAGGGGAAGCGGTATGGTCTAGAGCTGAATTGGAAGAAGACCATCCTCATGAGGGTTCGGAACACTGGCTCCCTCCGGGACCCGTCTGGGAATACTTTGGCAGTTGTGGAACAGGCCGCGTAACTTGGAGGTCTTCTCAACACAACTTGCACTGCGAAGCCGGAGTTCACCCGAAGACTAGGGGAGGCCTGGGGAGTGTTCCAATCTCTTCAACAATGTTGGCCTCACGCAAATATAAACATTGCAAGGAAAGTGAAACTGTATCGAGCGATTGTGGTGCCGGTTGTACAACTTGGAATCTGTGTGGACCCTCCAGGCGGACAAGGACAGACTAAATGCTTTCCACGTGCAATGTCTGAGAAAAATATGTTGCACCCCGTGCGCCTATGTCTCAAGAGTTCCGAACCGCAGCGTGTTGGAGCGGACCGGAGAGCACGATCTGAGTGAGGACTTGCTCTCGAGCGCCAAAGAAGCTCTGCAAGGAGATCGCCGCTCTTCCCGAGGAGCACCCACTGCGCAGGCTTACGTGCAAAGCAAATTCGAGCCTGCCTCGCTCTGGGACGAGAACCGTTCACGCGGGAGGCCTAAGCAGCAGTGGGCTCCCTGCGACTGCGCAGCGCTGCCTCGAGGAAGGCGCGAGCTGCGTGGGGCGCCAGCTTCCCTCTGTGCCGATGCGCCGCTTAGGCGCCAGGCTTCTCCACTTCATTTCACTTCACTCTCTCTCTCTCTCTCTCTCTCTCTCTTCCCCTGCCCTCAACAGTTTACAGTCGGGGCGTTGACCTAAGGAACCCTAAATAAGGAACGAGGCCCTTTTTTCCAATAATTTCAACTTCGATTCCCCATCGAAAACCTAAGGACAACCTAAGGCAAGCTGCGAAACAATTAAGGAACACGGAGCCCCTCCCCAACGAAAAGGGTTCCTTGTTTAGCGCCCCGACTGTACCTCTCCACCCCTCCCACCTGCTCGCGCGAGAGGACAGGGAAGTTGAAGAGCTCGTCCGGCACCTGCCAGGCCGAGCCGAAGCACCCCCAGACGTGCGCCATCAGCACTCCGACGTTGTGCACCAAGCGCACCTTGGGGAAGAGGCCCGCCGCTGACCCGCTCTGACAGACCGGGGTCACAGGTGATCGCGGCAACAGCCGGCGCGCGCCAAAGGAACAGGCAGGATGAGCAGACGGCGCTTCTGGCACGGTGGGCTCGGCTCATGTGAGAGGCAACGATGAGAGGGGACTGGCCCAGGGGAGGGAACATCGTACTGGAATCGGCGATCCATCGCCGATTGGTCGGCGATAGCCTCTCGATGACGAAGTAAGGTCCTGGGCGGGACGGGCTATCCGGCCCCTATAGGCGATCAATGGGCGACTGGTGGTCGATGAATGTACCCCTGCGCGTAGTCCCCCCTCCCGTTGCCCCTGACTTTGGCGCTCCGTAGTCTGCCCGATGTTCCCCGGCACCCTGTTTCCGAACCGCATGCCGATCGGAATTGCCCCGCTGAATGGGGCGGGGCGTCTTCGGATTTCGATCATTGGCCAGGTCGCTCCAAACCAAAACGCAAAGATCAAGTTACCCTCACCCGGAACACGTGAGTAAAAACATGAAGTAGGAAGGCGACGGAATTAGATGTGCGCTTCCGTCCAAGAGGGGAACCATCTCGGCCCTTGAAATACGAAGGCGCCTAGGTACATGAAATCTAGGAGACCAAGAATACGTACCTTCAACGGGCGATGAATACTAAGCCCCCCAGGCTAGGGGAGCAGAAGAGCACACCCACCATTCCCTGGCCCCCCTCCCCAGGCGAGAAGGCTGGGGCAGGTGGGAAGTGGGGTATGCTTTTTGGTGCTGCCTCTGCGAAGCATCCCCACAATCGGACCTCGAAGCTTGCTGGTCAAGCCCCAGGGGCAGGGGGGTCCAGGTGGGGGTGGAGGTGTGCTTTCTTCCTCCAGCAGGCTGTCGCTGTTGCGCGGGCGACAAAACAATCCAGTCTCACAGGAAGCGTAGGCATCCACAGTGCAGACAGATGCTGAAAGCGTGCTGAATGGAGGGAAGGGCCCAGAGACGGGGCGGCGGGAGGGACGGGCGAAGTGGGCGTGGCACCTGCTGCCGCCCCGCGCCCGCCGACAGAGCGGCCCCCCCAGCGGCCTAGAGACCTCCCGAGGGCGCCCGAGGTTGCCCCAAGACAGCCCTCGCGCCGGGCACGGACGCGAGGAGGGCACAGGCAGAGGCGGGGTCAGAAAACTGGCTCGCGCGGCCGGCTGTCCCAGCGCCTCCTGACGCGAGAGGCGCCCAGTGTGTCGAGGAAGGCGCCAGGCGGCGGGGGCGAGATCAGCTGCATGCAGCAGATTTCGAGGCCCCCTTCCTCATACCCCCCCCCCTCCCCCTTCATCCGACCCGACAGAGAGGGCTTCCGCACGCCACGCCCCCGCAGGGACCCTGGGCCTCTCGGAGCTGACCCGTCCCAAGAGGGCCCAGGACGCGGCGAGGCCTCTCGGAGCTGACCGTCCCACGAGGGCCCAAAGACGGCTCCAGAGTCTCCGAAGATCCCCTCTTGACGTGCTCACGGAGCGCCCAGGACCTGACCCACAGCCTTCCGGACGCCTGCGGGCTCCCCTCAGATGCCGCGCAAACCCCCAGAACGGCCCATGAGGCTGCACCAGCACACCTCTCGGAGCCTAGATTCCCTCAGGAGCACTTCTAGATCTCGGGTGCCGCAGAGAGGGCCGGGAAGGGGGGGCCAGCGCATCATGGCCCGAGGCACGTGCGCGGAAGAGGGGGTGGCCAGTGGGTGCGTCGCAAGGAAAAGAGGGGGCGACCCCGCGCCAAATCCATGAATCGCTAATCTATGTGTTTGCGCGCCCCCGAGACAAGGGAGGTGACGGAGGTGAAGGGGCACCGAAAGTTGCCCGAGACGTATGCAACCCCATCGCCACGCCATGCAACTGCTTCTACGAGCGCTCCATGCACAAGAACACGCCGCCACGCATGCACGCTCCGCGCTGCCCTCGGCCTCCGCCGTGCCTCCCAGGAGCCCGCGGGAGGGGCGGCAGCTCCACGGGCTCGCGGCCCCCGACGGCGCCGCGAGGTCTCAGGGCCACCGCCCCCGATCCATCGAAGGCCTGGGGACGAGACCAGTCGGGAAGTCGGCTCGGGGAGGCGAGCCCGCGCCTGCCGGCGGCGCGGGCCGCTCGCCGTGCGCCCGCCGGCAGAGGCGGCCCTGTGCAAGCTCGGGCCTCTGCCGGGGGGGCGGGGCCGGCGGCGGGCTTGTCCCGTGCGGTTGCCCCGTGCGGTTGCCCCGTGCGGTTGCCCCGTGCACTGTCCCGTGTGGCTGCCCCGTGCGGTGATTCTCCCGTGCGGTGTGTCACGCGCGGTGCTTCCCAGTGCCCTCGTGGCTTCCGCGCGGTGGCTTCGCATGCAAGCAGATCCTTGGCTCACACGGCTGTGTACTCTTGGAACATGAGGGGTCTGTATGTAGAGACGTTGTATACGCGTGGGCATGTACACACATGTTGTATCGTAACGGTGTTCGCAAAAAAAGTGGTTCTAGAAACACACGGGAAACCTGCCACGTTGATACCTGTAGTTGAGGAGATAGGCGGCTTCAGCTATCGACTGGTAAGAATGAACAGGCCACTTGATATGTATGTATGTACACAGATGTATGTACTCAGATGTGTGCATATATGTATATAGTATGGAAAATGTGTAGTAAGACGTTGGGTAAAACCTCGCCTTGAACACATTACTGGCTATACCATCAAGTCTCTGGTTATGCGCACACAAGTAACCCTGTCTACACGAAGCCGCTTGCTACGCAAGTGTCATCTGTATTGTGAGATCGTCAATCGGATCCTACCTTTTTCATCTAGCACTCAGGTCGATTGGCAGTTGCCGATGGCTCCTTAGGTAGAGGAGCTGGCAAATGTAATCGCAGCCCGACGGGAGGCCATCGCCAATCGGAAACGACGGGAGGCCATCGCGAGCCGGACGCCGATGTAGATTGGCGCCGCCGGCCCTGCGGGGGGCCATCGCTCTCACGCACGGTTCCACGCACGCCACGCACGCCACGGTGCTCGACACCACGACTTCCTGCTGGGGTCGTCCTCTCAGTTCTTAGAGGCCTCCCCACATCCCCAACCTCCAGTATCGCAGCAGTGGTGGAGCGCACAAACAGATAAGCTACTACCATGGGGAACGCTTAGTCTTAGGTCGGGCCTGTCCCCCTACAAGGGGATTTTGGACGAAACATATTCGAAATACTCAAAAAATACTCCCGAATGGTTAAAAAAAATGCAAAAAATGGTCCCTGACTATGTATTCACTATTTTGGAGTATTCCCCCTGTAGAGGGACGGGCCCGATTTAAAGCTGCTACCATGAGGAACGCTTAGTCAGGGATGAAGCCCCTCTCTGCCCCCAAGGGCACCCTGCGCGCAAAAGGGGCGCTAGAGGAGCAGCCATGGAAGGACCCGAGAAACAGCAAGATCCCGAGCCCGAGCTGTTCCGCAGCTCAGCGCCTCGACTGCGCGCCAGGCCCTTCGACGCCCAGATCTCTCGAGTACGTGAGGCCCTGGAGCTCTCGACCCGAGAATCCGATTCTCGTGCGCGGTATTCGGTCAGCAGGTTGTTCTCTCTCTCTCTCTCTCTCTCTCTACCCATCTACAGTCGGGGCGTTGACCTAAGGAACCCTAAATAAGGAACGAGGCCCCTCCTTTCCCACAGGTTACACTTCGATTCCCCAGCGAAACCCCTGGGAAAACCTGAGGCAAGCTGTGAAACTATCAAGGAACACGGAGCCCCTCCCCAACGAAAAGGGTTCCTTCTTCAGGACCCCTACTGTATATCTTGCGGGACCCCATGGCGCCTCGGAAGGCACATGCTCGAAAACATCGGCCGACACCTGAGCTTCCTCAGAGCGCCAGAGGCGAGCCGTTTCTGCGAATTGCTGATGGCACTCACAGTCGGAGGTCCTCTGGGTTTCTTGGGTCGGCGCTGCCGGATCCAAAAGAGACCTCATGACGGACCCAATCGGCCTTTTTCTCACTGGCGAGCAGCATGCTTTCCCCTGCCCTGGCGCGCGAAGTGCGCCAGAGGCGGCGCCAGAGCCGCTGTCAGGGAGGTCCAGCGCTGGCACCACGAGTCCGCGCGGACCTCCGACGGTTCATGCGCGTGCCGTGCTCTGGCTCCTCGGGACGGTGGGCGCGCCGGCGGTCGCTGGAAGGACTTCTCGTCGCCAGGCAGCTCGATGGTGGACCTGGGGCGAGCAGAAGAGATGCCCCCACCGCTGCCGCCCCGGGAGGCCCCTCCCTGGGAGATGCGCTCTGCCCAGGATCCCCAGGCGAACCCGGCTGCGGCGACGGCCGGCGGCGCGCAGGGGGGCGGCGCGGGGGGGTCAGCGCGGGAGGGGCCAGAGCGCGGGAGGGCGCAGCGCGGGGGAGGCCGCCGGCTGGAAGGCGGGGGGGCGTCGACGAAGCCCTCCTGGATTCCAAAAGACATGCTCAGAAGACCGTGGGCCCCTCGAGGCCCCCCGCCTCCTCGGAAGCCCCCCTTGCCTTCCGTCAGGGCTGCACCCCTCGCGCCACGCCCTCGTGCGCGCCGCCAGCCGGGCCTTCGAGCCACAGCTCGGGCCTCCGGCGGCCACGTGGAACGGCTCGGGCAGCCCGGAACGCTCTCGACGAGGCGCAGCTGCTGGAAAGCACCCCGAAGCGAGAAGGCCACCAGAACCGACGAAAACCCCCCTGATCCTCCAACAAAAGTTCAACGCGCGCCACTAAGTCGAGGGGGCGGCAACGGGGCGAGGCTGAGATCTGTCCAGAACCACCGCCTGGGGGGTCGATCTTCGAGGGCCTCGGCAGGCGGTGGACATAGACATGCTTAGCCCCCCCCGGGCCCGAATACGTCGATACCCGTCGCCTGCCGAGGCCCCTGGAGATCGATCGATCCCCCAGGCGGTGGTCGTGGAGAAATCCCCACCCTGGTAGGTACCAGAAAAACAAGCCGGGCAGCGCTTGGCTCCAAGGAAGCTGCCAAATGCCACCGGAGACGCCCGGGCACCGCCTGCACGATCAGTCGGGGAGCTGCCGCCTCAGGACCAGGACGAGTCAGGCCAGTGCCCCAGCCTCCCCGGCATCACCAGGATAGGGGGCCACAGGCGAACCCTACCCCCACCCCCCACGATTTCTGAGGGGGAGGGTGGGGTTCACTTCGCTCCCTCAGAAATCGTGGGGGGTAGGGGTAGGGTTCGCCTGTGGCCCCCTACAGGAGGGGCCCGACCGACCCGAACGCCGACCAGACACGCGAACTGATCCCGAGCTCGCTCTGTTTCCCTCCGTTGGGACCCCGCCATCACCAGCCGCAGGAGGTCGCGGGTCTGCGCCGGCTCTCCGGAGCAGGCTTCGCGGCCCTGAGCGGGCCCACGGGAGGGGCGGGCGCTGCTTGGAGGGATGGTATGGGCAGATGGGCAAGTATGCAGACATGCTCTCGTCGCAAAGAAGAAGCACAGAACATGTGATGTCGTGTTCCGGCCTCTGTGGGCCCTCGCCGAGCTCCAGGACTGTCACAAAACGGCGCGGGATGAGAAGCCGGCTCGGGGAAAGGGTCGGGACTTCTGGGCGACCCGTATGGAAAAAAGACATCGCCATCGTCATCGTTATCATCGTCATGGTCATCGTCATCATCATCATCTCTGGATAAAGCTTCTGATGTGACTTGTTCAATCCCAGCGGTTTTCCCAGATTCAAGCGTCTACAAGCGGTTTCCCGTCCCCGGGGCAAGCATGAACGGGTCTTTGGACAAGAAGCCACCCCACCCCCACCGTGGAAACCTTGACCCCGCCAGCCGACCTACCCCTCATAGGTGGGGATGGGTGCCGTCTGCATCGGATTTCGCAGCAGTCACCACCAAGGGGGGGCATGCCGGGAGGGACACCTTGCTCTGTCTGGGTAGGGGTTGGGATGGTTCTGACGATGGTTCTAGCAACATGATGTGTCTTCCGACAGCACGCGAGAGCGATAAAGTGTTGCACATCCAGCCGACGCTGGGGTCAGTCGGGTCCGATTGCAAAGGACACCCGAGCGGACAGCCTTCTCCTCCGAGGATAACCCGTGCTACAGGCATGAAGAAGACATGGACCGCGATAGACATAACACAATCCCGAGGAGGAGGAGGAGCAGGAGGAGGAGGAGGAGGAGAAGGAGGAGAAGGAGAGACAGGAGGAGGAGGAGGGAGGGAGAGAGGGAGGAAGGAAGAGGGGGCAGGAGCGATCCCTAGGAGACCCCCTGTGACTGCACTGGAGACAAGAAATGGCCAATTTGATGTTGCAGGGTCGACCCGCTAATCAGGACCCGGCTGCAGGGGCGCTCCGAGACGCCCCGTGGACCTGCGGGGGGGCCAGGAACCTCCCGGGGAGGCGCAGGCTGTGAAGGCAGCCTCTTACTCTCGGCAGGGACCGTACCGCGTCATCGCCGCCATGCCACTACAGTAGACACATGCGAGTAGCAATCTTGCTACAAGGAAATGTGGGACGCATTGCTCGTCAATGATGGGCCGATTTACCACCACCACTACCATAGAGGAGGAGGAAGAGGAGGAAGAGGAGGAGGAGGAGGAGGAGAAGCAGCTCCTCATCCTCCCTTCGCCCCCGTCCTGCCTATGATAGTGGTGGTGGAAGATTGGCCCATCAGTCATTATTTGAAAAACCTGGAGTGCCCTGGGGCTTATGTGGGCCCCCAGAGCCGTCGGGAGACGAGAGACTTCCGTGCGGCACATGCTGGCAGGCCAGCTTCTTCTTTGCTGCGCATGCTGCAGGCCAATGCTGTCATCGCGCTGGCCTGGAACGCTGCATGAGAAACGCACGTTTTTTTGTTTTTCTGGCCCCAGCGAGCCTGGAGCACGAACAGGCTCCACGGCCTAGATTTAAGTCGGGCCTGTCCCCCTACAGTGGGATTCTCGAGGAAAAATTAAAACTATTCAAAAACTATTCAAACATGGCCAAACAATATTCTAAAAAATAATCCCCATAGTATTTTGGGACTACTTTTGTACTTTTGAATATTCCGCCTGTAGAGGGACAGGCCCGACTCAAGCCTAAATCTAAGGAACGACCCGAAAACCAGGGCCCCTCCCGAGCCCAAAGCTGGCCTTGCTCCAGCCAGCGTCTCGACTGCCTTCTCGGCAAGGGGACCGCATCTCTCGTTCGAACACGGACCCCCAGGGCTCGACAAGGATCAGAACACGCCGCACTGGAGACTTCTTCGATGCGCGGCTCGTCCACGGCCCAGAGATTCGATGTCATGAGTTTTCCATACGGGGCCCCCGGAAGCCTCGCCCCTCTCCCCAGGGCCGGCTTTTCATGCCGAACCCTTCTTTGGGCGGTCCCGGCCTCGGGCGATGGCCCCCGGAGGCCAGAAACGACGAGCACCGGAGTATCTTCGTGCTGAGCGCCAAGACACTGGACACACGGGCTCGGTGCGTGGCTCCTTCGTGCACCGTCATCTGCGGAAGGCCTCGTGGCTCGGCCGGAAAACATGCTCGGAACATCGTTTATCCGACCCCCAGCCCCAGCGGCGTGGCCTGGGCCCCAGTGGCCGATTCACCCCCCCAGATGGGGACATATAGGCCTTTCCCTTCGGGCTTCGAGGGGTGCATCCCCAACTGGGGTGAGGGTCTCGACGGGGATGGGGATGGGGACGGGGAAAAGGGAGGGCCGTGCCATAGCTATTCTTGTTCGGGCCGTCTGAAGAGCCGGCGAGGCCAGCGAAAGCTCACCACAGAGCGAATGCAAAACATGTTATCGCATACATCACAGGTTTGAGATCGTCAGTTGTTGTATTGTGTGGTTCAAAGATACCGATGCTCCACGGCGGGAGCGCGCGAGGTCTGGATCGGGCACGGCAGGGGCGTGGACGGCGGCACCGCAGCACGCGTTCACTGCAGGCCCCTGGTCCTAGCATGCCACACTGCGTGTGCGCACGCACTGCCGCGCCAACATGCTGCCGAGGCGCCGCCCCGGCGCGGCGCCGTGCCCGTGTCGGAGCCTGGATGCTGATGCCCGTCACGAGGCACGCCTCTTGCAGGTCTACCTCGAGGTACTCCTGGCGGGGCCGGCCGAACTTGGGCCCAGAAGGGCACCTTCCGCACAAAAAACAGGCGGGCCCAGGGCCCATTCGTAGTGCGCCGCCCTCGGGCCCCGTGGGGCCCTGCACGGCCCCGCGGCCGCAACAACAACAACAACAACAACAACAACAACAACAACAACAACAACAACACCAACACCAACACCAACACCAACACCAACACCAACACCAACACCAACACCAACACCAACACCAACACCAACAGCACCAACAACACCAACACCAACAGCAACAGTCAGTTTAAGACTGTTTGCTCGCGCGTCATTCAATATGCATATCCCAAACCCTGGATACCAGCCCTCTTCGTCTTCGATTGTACCCCCTTTTGGGGGGTCGATTCATTCCCTGCCACGCGTGGCTGGTGAAGCCCTTGAAAACGAAGGGTAACAGACAACGGGGGAGAATGAGGACGAAGGGATCAGGGATCAGGCCGAGGCGCAACATCCGATTCGAATGAGGGCTGGCGGGCAAGGGAAAGGGGGGGCGCGGGATTCCCGCCGTCACGGTCCCGCAGCCCACCGCACAGGCCGAGGGCCACTAGGGCACGGGCCGTGGTGGCAAGCGGCACACAGGCACCAGCCGCCGCCTACCACCATGGCCCGCCACCCTAGCGGACCTCGCGACCCGCGAGAGCAGCCTCAATGCGCCAGCACTGCACTGAAGCCCTCTCCGCAGGGCCTCGGCAGTCCGCCACGAGGCCCCTCCAAATTGGGGCCTCTATGGATACTCGAGCACCGCAGCGGCGGCACAGCAGAAATTTGTCAGCGGCCTGCACCCAATGGCCCCGATACTCGAAAGTCTCGAGAGCCTGCACATGCAGGCCATCATACGTGAACCCAAGTTCACGACACGCTGAAAGGACCGCGTCACTGCGCGCCCTCGGAAGGAGGCCATTGTGACGCTCTGCCCTGACCGCCGACAGATATAAGTGGATCGGCGTCGGCTCGCACTTACTGCCAGGCTGCTCCAGCTTCGCGCGAGAAAGCGCTGTCTTGCCAGAGCAATGGCACCACGTACACCTCACCCCCCCCCTCCGCCACCTCCAAGTCGTGAGCTAGCAGAGAAAGCTGAGGCACGGCCATGGAGTTACGGCCTGGCCTGGAGGACATGGAAGGGGGTTCGGCCTGAGACGCTACAAACTGAGCGGCCTGGCCCAGAAAACGGCACGTCTTTTTCACGTCTTTCAGCTGAGCTTTGAGAGTGTCGGTGGCGATGCTGGCTACAGCGTGCCGCTTCGCTCCCAACTTGGCAAAAAAAGTCAGCCCACATATTGCCCAGATAATCGAACACCGCCGTGTCCACGGATCGACCCAGGCTCGGAGAACGCTCACCAAAGAGGAGGGAGTCGAGATCTCCGTGGGCAGGAGTCCAGCGAGCCCGAGGCCTATCATCAAACGGGGCTCCAGCTGGGCACACCTGAAACATCTCGCGCCAGATGCACGCATGCTTATGGCTGCCTTCGGCTAGATCGGCTGACCAGGCAGTGGCTTCATGCACCGCCGAGAGGTGATCACTAATAATTTCCACACTTCCCGGGCCCAGGCGCACCGCCTGCAACATCGCATACCTCTCGGCCCTGGGCACCGTTTGGATGGCCCCAGGGAGGGGCCCAAAGCACGCCCGAACGGGCCAGCCCCCAGGACTAAGCTCGACAACAGCCCACCCGCAGCGACACACTTCGGGTAGACCATTCGACAGGCCCGAGCCATCCGTAAAAAAGATGAAAGCCCCACGGCATGCTCGTGGCACCCCAAACCTGGGGAAGATATCTGGCTGGGACAAGCTCAATGCTCAGGGGAAAGAGAGGAACACCGTACGCCAACTCAAGAGTGTCGAAGTCGGGGGGATTCCTTTAGCCTTGTCCCGCAACCATTTTACATGCTCAATCACATCGTCTGGGAGCATGGATGCCTCTTCTGGGTCCTGACCAGGCCCCCAGACTTTTTTGCATTCGTACCACTGATGGCCGAAAGAGCCAATCGCATCACACCCGAATTCACACTTGGGACTGGCTGCGTAGCCATATTTGTGCTTCTCGGCTGGCGGCCACAGCTTACCACTGAGTAGGCCTCTCAAGGCCGCCTGCCTAGAGGGGTCCTGCACAGCAAGAATCCCTAATCGGAGCGCTCGCCCCCAGACAGGTTCACCACCGCCAGCCTCGGGGATAGCTTCCAAAATCTGTCGCACTTGGGCACGGCAAATGCCTTCACGCAACCTCTGCTTGACATCCCAGGGGCAAGTGGTGAAAAGCGAAATGATTTCGCACTGGTCAGTCCGGAGCTGATGGTGAGAAATCAGATCCCAGCCAACTCTCCTCAAAGATAAAATGACCGCCCCGACAGGTCCCTGCACAAGATTCCAATGGGGGCGATCCCTTAAACGGGCCTGAGCAGTCGAACAAGCTACCCTCAAATCTGAATCGGACGCTCTACGATCCCATACCCAACGACAATACCTGAACACAAGCGGGATCGTAGCATCAACGATGGGGTCAAAGCCGGGATCCTTATGCGCGAACAAGAACCCCGTCACGTGCGACGCACCACCCGCTCCCATAAGGCCCCCAGCTAAGGCCCTGAGGGTTCTGAGCGTATCATTGTTGACACCTGAAACTAAGGCCCCGTGGCCTCCACTTGGCATGAGGCCTGTGCGCCACAAGCCAGCAACCTTGGTCCCAGCAGATTCCTTAAGCACCTGGATGCGGTGCTTCCTCTTGACCAGCGCAACTCGCCTCTTGGCTTCCACCTTTCGGAGAGCACGCCGCCCAAACAAATCGTGACCAAGGCTTCGCATTTGCTCATAGCCTCGCATGCCCATCAGCTTGGCCGACACTGCCACTTGCTTGGAGGCGGCCAGGCTGGCGGCAACAAACCCTGACTTGTTGGGTTGCAGAAGAAGGCCAATCGGCCGCACAAGAGAGCATAACTCCCGAGCCGCAGCAAGGACCACCGTTCCTTTCTCAGGGTCGGGTCCAGCCCAGCGCAACGAAACATCATCAATTAAAGTTCTAGCCTGGACTGGGAATCTTTCAAGTACAAACTTGACTGGCTGCAGAAGCACAGCCAACATAATCAATGTCGCTGCCGAGCATCCAGCCAAAATCCCCTGGAACGACACAAATGGCTCCGAAAGCGAGCCGAACGCATTGATTCTCCGAAGGGCCAGGTAGGTCTGAATGACCATCCACCCGAGACGGAGCGGGAAACCAACCTGCCGAAAAATCTGAAACAGGACCGAGAGCTTTATCATGTCATAGCATTTCACCACGTCAAGCAATAGGGTGACTGAGTGCCATCCTCTGGCGCGGGCAACTTCAGCAGAAAGGTTTAAATCGAACGCAGGGTCCGATGAGCTCCCCCCCTTCCCAGACCCCCAAAACTCCCGAATACGACCCCCCGCCTCCCAATCATCAGAAATGGAACGTCTAATGCGTCCCCACACTCGTAAGATAGTATCTAAACTAGCAATTAATATGTGGCCGCCGTCTGGTTTTGGCAACCTGACAAGCCTGCTTACTAAACGCTTGGTTGGCCAAACAAGAGCCTTCTCGCACTGCATCAGAAGCGACGCTAGAACCGCTAGCATCGCATCCGGCAGGTACTGAAGCGAACGAGGGTGGATCTTGCAACAGCCCACCGCCGTCTTCGGGGGAAATCTCGAAATCGCTCCCCTCAAATCGTCAACCCCGATCGGCGGCAGACTCGCTGAATCCTTCGACTCGCTCGGCAACTGCAAGTCTTCGCACGAGTGAGTGGTCCAAATGTGGGACCATTCACGACGCGTGTCGTCGGCAAGCTCGAAAGGTTGGATCCGATGCTCCTCGGCGAGCACCTCTTGGATTCCACGAACCCTGGTAAATCGGTGGGCAGCCTTGGCCCCGTCCAGAAAAGCATCCCTGACCCAGGATTTCCAGGCTTCCTCTTTGCTGGCCAGAAACACTGCCTCCTTTTCCTGGGCCAGGGTCAAAACTCTTTCAAGCAAATCGGGCGTGGACGGATCACCTATCACATCCACTCCAGACCTGAAAAAACCTGCCGTCAGCTCGTCGAGGTGCGCGTACACCCAGTCATGCCTCTGGATCCTGCCAAGGAACGCCACCGTGTCTAGCAACACCTTGGCGACCCTCTGCATCCTCCTCGGCTGCTCATCGATGTCCGACTCCAGCTTGGGAATGTACGACTCGAGCACAATATGCACACTTCGCAAGTGCCTGGCCCACCTGGCCGCGGCACTCCACGCTGCATACTCACAAGAGGGACGAGGCTGCCGATGCTGAGGGACCGCGCGGAGCTTTTTCCGTCTAACCTGATGCTCCCCAGCCCTACCTTCATAGCCGTGACGGAGAGGCCCAACAACATCATGCCGGTCAAGCAGCTCAGCCTCTATGCCCTGGATAGTGAGGTCCCAAAAGTAAGCCATCTGCTCGGCATTCTCAGCGTGCTGAACGTCTTGATGAAACTTCTGCCAGTCACGAGGATACCGACCACAATCAGGCCGAGCCAAGACAGGAAGGGCATTGGGTTGGTCTGCAAAACGGCACCACAGCACAGTGTCCTTGGCGTGAACCTGCATGAGCACGGGCCTGCGAGGCCAGAGCGCGGCAGCATCCACCACCTCAATCATCCCAGACCGAATGGCAAAGCCTTCGGACATGATGAAGTAGTCAATTGTCGTACCTGGCGTGCTCTGGATGCATGCGGGCGCAGACGGCGCCACCAGCACTCCACCAATTGAAGTCGCCCACGGCTGCAACAGAGCACGATCCATGTTATAATCAGCTGCAACTATCCACTCATATCCTAGCGCTTTAACGCGAAGCAAGTACTGAGCTAACATTGTGAGCAGCGCCATGTTATTCTGCCCCATTTCCTCGTCGACATGAAGATACGCCGACACCGCCACGAAACTACTCTTGAACCACGTGTGGACTGTCGCCGCTACGATCCTCTCGTCCAGCA